CTGGATTTGGTGCTGTTTTAGATTATTCTTCTCTTGATTACCCCAGCTTTACATTTCACTTAAAAAACACAAAATCATCACCTCTCCATCATCATTCCTTAACAGTTTATATGAGATGTTTGTGCTGTATGTGTTACTGTTTGCTATGACTAAACATCTATACTTTGCTCTCTCCTGATCTGTAGACATATTTTCAGTGCTCATGTTGTTCACTCAAACCATTTTAGAGCAGTAAAACTCTCTCCTGGAAACTCCTTCCAACAAACTGTATTTTTTAAGTCTTTTTTGTTTTTTTACGGTCCAGAATTTGACTAATTAATATGCTAGCTCAGGCCTGTAGGCTGAGATTGAGCTCTCGGTATTTTTGCACTTTGTATGAGCTTTTCACAGTCTGACCTTGGGGTGAATTTGCTAGAAAGTCCACTACTTCTGGGAAAATTTGCAGCTGTCTTAAATGCTTTCAGCCTGTGAAAATTAATTTCTACCGCAGATGATGAACTTCAAACAGTTCGGAAATGGCTATGATGGACAATAATAAAAATGATATAATCATACTGATAGACTTTTGGATTAATGGCTTTGATTAAGGGATTGACTTTAGGGTTTTGATTTATGCTGATTTGCATCACTAAAGTCTTAGGTTTCTTTTTATCAAAGCTCAAACTGTTTCTTATCTTGCCAGCTATCTTAAGGTATTTAAAATGATTGTATGTGTCAGTTTAAACACAATGAAACACAAAAAACATATTTTCAGGCTATTTTCCATTAAAGCAATGCCAGGTTTTTTTTTATTTTGGAGTCTTAATAGAAGAAAGCCTAATTTTATAATTCACATTGCCATTAGGAACTCTTAATATGATTTTCTACCAAGCTTTAATCTCATGTCCTAAAGCAGAATTTAAGGAGTTTAACATTCAACACTGCTCATTTGCATACATTGGCTCTTTTGTATGAATGATGATAATCTTCAATAAATATGTAAAAGACTCAAAAATGTGTTGTTTATCTTTAGAAAGTATCAGAAAATTGAGTGATGCACAACGGTCAAACTGAAAGGTTGATATTAACGACATTACACTCTATGTCTGTTGGAAATGAAACCCTGCCAAAAGTTGGAGCACAGTAAAACATAGACTGGTAATATGTCAGAATCAACCTTCTTTAACCTCGAAAGTCTATTTCAAATTGTGCAGAGATTAAACTTCTAAGAATAGAGTTAAAGGTCATTGTAAAAATTCAACAATTATATAAAGAGAAGATTTCACCTTTTCTACAACTTGATTACCTCTCACTCTGAGAGGAAATTTATTCATTTTAACACATTGATGGTGATTATTATGTGAATTTAAGCAAATTTTGAGTGTAAATTTGGGACTAAGGGTTAAAGTGGATTATGGGTGTGTGAGAGGCACTAATTGCATGTCTGATAATAGACAAATTAAATACTCATTCAACAGCAAAACCATTGGCATTCTTTAATAGATGTAAAAGACCACCAGAAATGTTTTACATTCTCATATTTTGCTCTTTTTAGTTAAAATGATTTAGATCTGCAAAATGCCAGAATGTAATTCTTTGTGAATGGACTGTTGAACATGGACCTGATCTAAATTCAGGAGTTGCCACTGCAGCATTTCATTCCATTTTTTCTCATCTTGATTTTTGATGCCTTCCTTTGCTTCCTTAGAGGATTGATTCTCTTATTTCGTCTGTCCTTTTCGTTGTCGTTTTGGATCGTGGACTGCGTTTCTCTCTCTCTTTCACTTCAGCGCTGACACCTGTAATTATTATATGCCCTGATTATTATGATTTATGTGCTCTTCTGTGGTTTGCTGTCTTGAGTTGCTTCTGTTAAGCTCCACTTTCCGCCTAAACAATTATTCTTTCGCTACCGCCAATCACTTTCCCAGTCTCTGTAAAACGCTGCAGATTGTTTTTCGCCTCAGTCAGTCTCCTGCTGTCGCTTTGTTTTCCGGCAGAATGGGCATATTGCTGGCTGGACGGGCCACGTGGGTGTTTGACATGGCACACAATGCTGAGGGCCATGAACAATGCCTGCGTAAACCAGCATAATTCGATATATTATTTGCCTTCTTGCATGAGTACACAGACACGCATGCTTTGGTTTGAGTACCCTTGGCTTCCCGCTGCAGTTTTTTCCATCAGTGCCCGGCCACATAATTGAATAGACAGCTGTTAAATTGTACAAACAGACTAACAAGCCACTGTGTTTATACCTTAGTCCGCCGACAGGGCCAGCAGAGATACACACAGGCAGATGAAGAGCTTACAGATGTCTAATACTTGTATGCTATTATCATATTTGCGCAGGGCAGATTAACAGTGGATCAGGCACTGAAAATGATTGTCAAGGGGCTGTTTTTCCATCCAGATTATATAACTGATTTATTTTATTCCACCCAATGAAGACCACATAATGCTTCCTCAGTCTCACTCCTCACCCCTCTCCCTCTGTTATTTAGCCTGGTTTGCATGTGTGTTGTACAGTTGGCTCTTGGGGAACAGAGACATCCTAATCACACCCTGATGGGAGTCTTGTTTATACCTGCAGCTGTGATTACAGCATCGGCTAAACAGCTCAGCTCATTAGGTGTTGCTGTAGAAAATGCAGAAACATAAAGCTCAGATTTTCTCAAAATTTCTCTGTGTTCTTCTGGGAACAAATTACTTTATGTAGCAAATCAGGACTGTATGATGGAAATTCATCATTAAACATTAAGACATTTTTTTTTTTTTTTTTACACAGCAAAACTGGTTGGAAAAAAAAAAGCCCAGGATGATGAGATATAAACGTCTGGATTTTCTTTGCAGATATTTACAAGCTTTAAATATTCACACTGCTTCTACTTCTAGAAAATCAAGGGCCAAAGGTGCCACATAGTGCATCTGTAAGTCATTAAATAAGCATCTATATGGAAATTTACATTCTCATTTTGCATATTAGTTAATTTCTCTGACTCTCCCATCTGTCATGGCTAAGTGAGGGCTAGAAAGTGAGTTCATATTCATGTTAACTAATCAAATATAAGTATTTGACAAAGCAAGGTGACAGTTTTTCATTTAAATTTAAATTTCAATTAGTAACATCTGCGTTCAAGAATTTTATTGGGTATTTTTATTAGTAATATTATGTGTTATTTCACAAATTCATGATTTATTTAATTGTAGCATGTTTGACGCGCAATACTGCAAGTGTAGGGTCAGAAAAAGTGGAGACTTATTCATGAAATAGATGTATCCTGCAGTAAGTGATTTAAGTGTTTTGGCCCACTGCAACAGAAAACCATGAAAAGCTTAACAGGATGAAAAGTTTCTGTTGAGAAAGCAGCTGCTTTATTAATGCTTTCCAGTTCCACACTGTGGTCACACTTCAGACAGGAGAATTGTTGATCACTGGTGTTGTTTTCTTCGTCATACTGTCTAAACAGAGTCAGTGTAGAGCCGTATTACTGTGTGCTTTCAAATAAAAGCCTTATTGCTTGGAGTGGTGCCTGTCCTTCACACAAAGTGGATTGTTCTTTTTTTTTTTTCTTTTTTTTTATTCTACAACCGGGTGCATCAGCTTTGACCTTTTGCTCTTCCTCTGTGCCTTACTAAAAGGTTGATAATGCACACGGATGGTGCTGCAGATCCTTTGAAGAATTGTGGACAAAGATAGTGACATACCTTCAGACATGTCCTGTTAACTCCCAACTTTTTTGGAAATCTTACTTTTACTTCTTTTTCAGTAAAAACATGTACTTTTACATGATGTTATCCAATAGGTTGCTAGATGTGCTTTGGATGATGGTGATATATGAGACTTACTGTTTAATGGCTGAAAATGTTTTTATAGATTTGTTTTCTTAAAAGAGACAGCAACACAACCTTAATATTACCAGCAATAATCTTGATAGAGAGCATTTCTGTCCCATTTCCTAACATTGACAGATTACAGGACTTATTGGTCGGGTTTTCTCTGGGCTAATGGTTAGATTGTTTGGTTGACTATTACTCTCTGATGTCATATTGAAATAACATATTTAGTTGTACAGAGGGGCTGGAAAAAGTATTTTATACAGATTCAGGTTTTTTCACATTCTGACACCACCATGAGCGTAAATGTATTTTATTGGAATTATATGTGGGATACATTTTTAAGGACTTTATTTTTGACTTTTTACTGCTTCGTGTTGGTCTGTCACATCCATTTCCAAACACAAATCTGAAGTGGTAATGGCTGTAATCTTATAAAGAGCAAGGGGTTTGAATGTGTTTTCTAGCTGTAGCCATCAAATGAGAAATAAACTGGTGCTCACATCATTTTTTTAGTTCCTCTCTAACAAATATGCTGGATTTCTGGTTGTGAGTCTAAATAATTCAAAAAGCAACTCTTTTTTTTATTTTTCTCTTTTGCCCTCATGCTGTCTTTCTTGCATACAGAGTCTGGTTTCAGGTCATCTGTTTTCATCTGCCCTCTCTGCATTTACACTCCTCTGCTCTCCTCCTCCAACCCTTTTCTTCTCTCCAATGCATCGGTTCACTCTTGAAGCTCTTCAGCGCTGCCTCTAATGGCTTTACCTCAGAGTGATTCCCTGTCAGTCTGACTGTCTTGAGGTCGAACAGTCTTTACTTAAAGTTTCACCCAGCAGCAGCACTCCAATCAAAACACACACTGCATAAAATATAGGTGGACATTCATGCTGTATCTTGTAGAATGAGACACTTTACTCAGACCTTGCACAATACATTGAAACAGCCTCCATAAAGCAAGCTCACCCTGAGTAAAAGTGATGGTTTGTCTTCTGACACGTTTGTTTACAACACACTATAGTTTGGCAGTAAAAGTCATGTGAAAAACATATGGTATTTCTAATAAATATCCATTTGCAAACCTCCTAGGATGTTTTTTATATATATATATATATATTGAAACTCACTGGAGCCTCTCATCAAACTGTCTCTGTCATAGCTGACAATGTTTATTTTGCGCTCCACAGGGGAAGTCCTACGTGTACGACCAGGTCTTCCCCACTAACACCACACAGGAACAAGTCTACAACGCCTGTGCCAAACAGATTGTCAGAGGTGAGTCACCTAAATGTTGTGCATTTACTCTTTAAGGCTCAAAAAGGATACAAGCACCAAAGGAAGAAGACAGCAGACCTTAAATTAGCATCTGCTGCACATTCTTGATCTCTGCGTTGGCTTTGTCTGGTCTGCACCTCTATTGCTGATGCAGGCAGCAGCAACATATCGTTGCAGGCGGCAGGAAACCTATTTTCATTTTTCAGTCACACAGCCTGGATGCACGGGTGTAGAGAATTATAAAGGTAAACAGATTAAAATAATGCATGCTATATCTTAACACTAAAGACACAGCCAGTTCAATTTTAAAAGAATCCTAATATAGTTTCCTATAACATCTTCCTGAACAACGTTGTTTAACCTTGAACAAACCTTGGGCTTAATTGTTTTCAAGAGGGATGACATTTTTTGTAATGAAGCTGGGTGTGCCCTAACAAGTGATTAACACACTCTATCAAGCTCTTTGTCAACTAATTATCAGACAGCATGAGGCGTCATGGAGAGTAAATTTGAAGAGATCATAAATTGTTAAAAGGCAGCATTTTCTTCATAAAATGGAAGCCAGAAACATGTCCAAAAAGGATGATTAAAGAAACGTTAAACTAAATGCACAGATGTTAACATGAAAAGTGGGCCAAGAAGTTCAAAGGCTAAAGACAGAAATAAAAATGGGGATTTTAACATGCAGGTAAATCTGTACTGGATCATAAAAGCTCTTCAGGTATGTTTCAACCAAGGTTTCCAGGACTTCATTTCCTAGAAACTTTTTAGCTACACCTTTGCCCTTCTTAAATTAGGATCCCTGGTGCTGAGAGGGGCTTCCGTTTACATTCAGCCTCATTGCAGCCTCACTGCTGAACAAAGACTTCAGTGAAATCAGACCAACACAGGATTGTCTCGGAGCGATCATGGCTAAAAAGCTAAGAACTATCACTCCCACCTTTATGGAACTGTGTTACTAGAAAAGATTGTAAACCATGCGCATCAATTTTATCTCCAGAATGTGTGGAGTAAAGAGAGGAAAGGGATTCATGTCACAAAGATAAAAGCCTTTTATTTTTAACAACAAAACGCAAACCAGTGATTCTGCCAATGATTCTGCTTCAGTGATTACTCTCTATAATTTATCTAGAGAGACTTCAAACTTTATGAAAATGTGTAAATCTGAAAACAACAACAACAACAACAACAACAAAAAAAAGCACAGATATATATGTTTTGAGTGTTACAAGTCTTTTTGCCTTTGGAACCCATAATGACCACGCAGCCGGTGGACTGATCTGCTCTTCTAAAACTTAAACTAGGTACTTTGTATCTTAGAATATAAATGTTGTAGCCTTTGCTTCATTTAATTGATCTTTTCCAACAAAGTTTGCTGATTTTATTACTGATTTTGAGTGTTGACACTCAATTGCTGGAAATACTTTCGCAGTAATTGCACCTTTCTACAGTAACTCCTGATAGATTTTTCTGGAGTAGACTTCTGCCATAGTAATGTTATATAGCTCCGGTTCCTGCAGAAGCAACTTTTTGGTGCCATTAGAGTTGAAGTAAGACATTACTGGAGAATGAAATCATTAAGGCCCCATTTAGACTACATTACAATGTAAAAAAAAATAATGCTAAAGATTATGGGCTTTGCAGAGTCTATGCATAGTCTTCTGCTCCATATGAAGAATACATTTAATTTCCTATTAATAATTCATAAGACCTACTGACTGTCTTCAGAATGGATAAAACGTCCTTTCAGAGGTTATGGTGGGTCACAGCTGAGATGGCAGGATATTGGAGTCCTGGGTGAGACATGGTGGAAGTGGTTATCTATGACATGTGGCCCAAGTGCAAATGAACTTGTCTAATGCTAAGGATACAACCTCATCATGCTCATGCTGGGGTGGAAGCAACCTAAGCAGCAGCTCGATCTAACAATTCATACTGTGCACACCAAAAAATACTGAGCTGATTTGCTCCACATAGATATCGTTCTGTCTGCTTCTCTATTGAGTGGGACTATAGGCATAGGCAGGAAATAAGCTCATCTATGTTGTTTTTTTTTTTTGTTTGTTTGTTTTTGTTTTTCTGGACACTGGGAGGAAATTGTGACATTCGCAAGCTGCATTCGAAAGGTAAAATCAACATGGCAGATTGAAGAAAAATGTTCCTTTTGATTGCATTTAGCAGTAAAGAGGAAGGAAGGAGGAATGAGAACAAAAGGAGGTTCACCAGGTGTTTATGATTTTAAAACACTGACTGCTTAGGCTTTGGGCCTTGTGATTTGTGAAAAACACACAGACTTTGGATTGTGTTCTCAGGATTCCTTCTGTCTAGAAAGTCATCCTATAGGTTATGGAAACATTAATAGAACTTTGTCATTCTTATTAAGGCTAAAACCGACACAAAAGGTCATATTTATAGGGAATTATAGCAACCTATCAGAAAAAAATGTGTAGCCGGGATACCTATGGTGGTAGGATAGTGGAGGAAGAAATGGACCACATTCAAATGGCCCATATTTGTTGTACGGCCTGTAAGGCTTTCTCGCTGTGCTGTGAAGAAACATGTGTTCATGCTTCATGTTTTAATTCTGTGGAAAACTTTATATCATACTCAAAGACTTGCAGAGTAAAGACATTATCTTTAGGAAGGTTGAGGTGGCTCCTCTGGGGGAAAATAAAAAATAAAAAAAATTGGAGAGACTAAAATATATTTAATTTTGTGTTACTTTGAAAAGTGAGAATAAAAAATAAAATGTTCATGTAGGCAATACCTGTGTGTTATAATGTTAGGCCCTGTATGCAATTGTTCTTTCAGAAAAAACCCCCAGAACCTTTATAAGATTTACCATTCAGGGTTAAGATTTAGTAACATTTTGTGTTCAGTGTAAGCATTGTTTTTTCAACATTAAAATTAATCCCTAAAAGTACAACTCGCATAATCATTTTTCACATTGTGTATATGCCAGACGCTCTATATCAAATGAAACTAAGCTCCAAGCTCATCTCGTTTTTATTCACTTCTCATCATTCTCCATATGCTTTTCTTCCTAGTTAGGATTTAATTTATTCTTTCCCTTCAAAGCACAACACTACAGTGAACAGGACGGAGCATGAGAAAAGATTGATTTGTTGCACAAGATTACTTACAGAGTGAGGGATTACCATGTAGGCTGATGAGAGATGGAATAAAAAGGGACAACCTGGGCTGCAGTGCATGGCTGGGAAAATTCAAGGTAAGGATTTAGCAAGATGAAGGGGTCAAATTTGACAGAGGTAAAAATGGAAAACGGAGAGCAACAAAGCTTAGAAAAAATGGTTCAGAGACTTTTTTGGGCACTAAAGTACATAGAATTGCTTTTTCCCCATTGCATCAGCAAGAAAAAGATAAAACAAAGAATTTTCTTTAAGAAAAACATCCTAAAATGCAAAAAGCGCAAATAAAAAGGTCTATGTAGAGACCACCAACATATACTCAAACAATGTCGTGCAAACAATGAACAGACAGTGGGCAAGTCCTAAAAAGAGGTTGACTGTTCACAAAATGCAATCTCCATGCATATAAATGGAAAGTTACTTGGAAGGAAAAATGTTGCAGAAAAAGATGCACAAGCACCAGGAATAACCCGACTCATGAAATGATAATGGAGCTATTTTACTGAGATGCATCTGTATGTGAGCTTCGTCTCTGCTTCCTGTGTTTTCTCTTCTCCTCTCTGTTATCCTCAGCAGTGTTATCTCTTGTTTTAGCGCTTAAATCTCCTGCTGTCTTTATATCCTGTTGAAACTGCTGAGCTCCTTATTCTTTTTTTTTTTGTTATTGTGTCACTCTGACCAGTGTGGAAGTGAAGGAAGACATGCTGCTGTGTCTTGAAAGTACAGCAGAGACAGGAGAGAAGGAAGGGAACGGGTTTCCGCACGGTTCCGTCTCAAAGCTTTTCTGATTTGTTTGTGGTCAGCTCACCTGTGGCAGCCAGCCATTTATGATATGTTTCTCTTTTAGCTTTTTTTTATGTTTGGCTTTTACTGCTCTGGTGTATTGGCCTGTATCAGCAATATCTCATTTTTATTCAACCAGGTGAGTGTTTTATTACTTCAGCTTGTGATACATTGTTGTGTTTTTCTTTTTCCGTTTTTTTTTTCTCTTGTTGTGGCTCAATAAGAATGGAGAGAATAATGTTTCTATAACTGCTTGCAACCTCATCGAGTCCCTCCTGGTGATACTGAAAGCTTCAGGTAGTTGTTGTTTATTGTGTGCAGCCACAAAGGTCGTTCGGGATCCACTCAAGTTTAAATACCACATGCTTCACAGTTTATATGAGGAGCAAAGTTCAAAGAGAGTGGTCGTTCTCTGGATACTGCTGCGGTTTTTGTTTGTCGATTGGACTGAATTTAGGTGCCATTTTTTGATTTTCACTTGTGTTTTTAGGTTTTTCTCCCCCTCTAACTTGTTCCCCTCCTTTTGTCCTGATTTCAGATGTACTCGGTGGATACAATGGGACTATCTTTGCCTATGGGCAGACCTCTTCGGGAAAAACACACACCATGGAGGTGCAGTATTCCTAAATAATTCAAAAGAGAACCTTTCTCTGGTGGCACATACAGGCACATATGCTTCCTTTTTTTTTCCTCCATGATTTTTGTCATCTCCTCCTCTGTCCGCCATCATGTCAGTGTATCCACCTCCATCACAGCCATCATCCTTTATCTCTCAATCCCAGCCTTGTGTGGGAACCGTCTTGTTTTACAACTCTCCCTGGGAAACAGCCCTGGCCCTTTTCAAGTTAAAAAATCCTCTATGTTCTCTTTCTTTTACTATTCTCTCTGCCTAATCCCTCCCAGACTTATCTCTTATCCAAGTGTTCACACACACACTCACACTCATAGAGTCATTTTGCCTTCTGCAGGGGAAGCTTCATGATCCCCAGGCCATGGGAATCATTCCCCGGATCGCCCAGGACATTTTTGAACATATATTTGCCATGGATGAGAACCTGGAGTTTCATATCAAGGTTTGTGTTGCTTTGCAGTCATTTCTGTTCGTGTGTGTGACGAAAACGACGTGCGTATTGGTGACTCGGTTTCAGGGCCTTTGATGTAATTCTAACTAACATAAATAAATCATTATAAACAAGTATATTTCTGCATATCATTTTTTACGCATCTCAGTGTTATAGTGTAAGCCTGTGGTATGAAGATGATAATGATTATAGCTCACTGCTGGAAGCTGAATTTTTGCAACAGTTTAGCTGTTGTAGCAAGTATTTTTGCATCACCCAACTACATGTTCCTTGCAGACATATTCATACCCCTTTAACTTTATCTCTTTAGTGTGTTGTTGTGAAGAGGAAGGAAAAACTATTATTTTCAAAGTGTTTTGCAAATAAAAATGTGTTATATAGCATGCGTATGGTTTAAGAGATAACCCTAAATAAAATCAAGTGTGACTAATTGCTTTCAGAAGTTACCTAATTGGTAAAGAGGTGTTTAGCTGTGTAGCTGTTCTATGTACGCCTCAGAGTAGTTTTGGAAACCTATAGTGAACAAACAGCATCATGACAAGGTTCCTGAGCAGTCCTGAAAGGTCTTGAAAATTCACATCAGATTGTAGAAAAATTTTCCTTCTGATTGCAGTTAGCAGAAAAGAGGGAGGAAGAAAGGGTAAGAACCAAAGGCGGCACATCAGGCATCAGGTTTTATCTCCCCATAAGTGATGGTGCACTACTCTTCATACTCTATAAACGTGTAGTTTATATAAACAGAAGCTGTTGTTTTAGGTGTTTCTCTGAGGACTACAGCTGTCCGCCTACATGTTAGACGACTTGAGGCTGGGGCAAAGGTTTCCCTTCCATCAGCTTAAAGGCTGTAAACATGCAGCCAGAGCTACAAGGGAATGGTTTAGATCAAAGGTGTCCATGTGTTAGAAAGTTCAGAACTGATTCCATATGAGAATCCACAGCGAGAACTGAAAATCGCTCTTCACAGATGCTCTTTGTCCAGTATGACTAAACTTTAGCTATTCTCCAACAAAGAATGGACCGAAATATCAGTCTCAGAGAGCAAGAACAGGCCCAGGGGGATTGAATATATATATTTACATACCATACATTAAATTAAAATCATGCATCATTTTCCTTCCACTTCATGGTTGTGCACTACTTTATGTCGGCCTTGAATAAAATCCCAATAAGATACATTAAAGTTTGTGGTTTATCCCCATAGGAAAAGTCAAGAGGTTGGAATAGTTTTTACTTGGATCTTTATATTTCACCTCTCATTTAGCAGGACTGCAGTATGTTTTATTTAGCCAGGGGGAAGAAAAAAAAATAAATTCTGTTTCATGTTTCTGACTTTTTTGCAGGTCTCCTACTTTGAGATCTACATGGAAAAAATCCGTGACCTCCTTGATGGTATGCTTTTTGTCAAATAGTTCACTGTTTTGAAGAAGGAAAATCAAAACCCTTAAGCTACTCTGACACATCATGGGGCACATCCAGGATGACCTTGACTTATTTATGTTTTAAATGTACCTTTCAGTCTATAATTGTCCTTTTTTGCAGAAAATTAGACTTGAAAATCTATAATTCTTTCATTGATAAAAATGTGGTTCTTATTTGTATAAAATGATTCAATTAAATGATCAATGAATTAGAAACAAGAAAATTAAAAGCTGCTTGCAATAATTTACATTTTCTGCTTATCTGCTTCAGTCAGTGATGGTGTGAAGGTGCTGCAGCTCATATAGTCTTATCACTCAGAAATACATTCAGTGTAAAATGATGTAGCGCTGGATGGAGAGCCATGGCCACCATTCCTGTGATTAAATCTTTTATGGACCTTTAAACAATGGTCAAAACCTCCATCTGTATGCAGAACGGTTTGCAGAGTCTGAGAAACATTTAAACTAGGTGCAGCAAAAGAGTCGAAACAAGCAAGTTGAATAAAAAGAGTAAAGAAAACACCCCAAGTGGGAATTTGTGAGAGGCAAAAGATGCTGCAGAGTTACAAAAGCATTTATATTTACTCTCAGAAATTATCCAAGGATTTATCCACTATAATTCTTTTGAATTTTAATTATAATCAACATAACAGGACTCTTTAAAAAATTACAAATGCAGGAATACGAATGTGAGCCTGTGCATAGATATCGTGTTTTGTTCACTGAAGCATCCACTTAACCTCTCAGTGATTTTGACAGAAACAGATTAATTAAAATCTAAAAACGTTCATAGACTCTTGCAAGTTTTTTGTTTTTCCTTTAACAGTGCATAAAAAGACATTGACTCACAAATATGAAGAGAAAATGATCAGGTCACATTAAATTCATGTGCAAAAAATTATAATGATTTGACTGAAATGTTGTCCTTTCTGCTTATTTTCCCTTCATGTCATTGCAGTAACAAAAACCAACCTGTCAGTGCATGAAGACAAATACAGGGTTCCCTATGTGAAGGTGAGTCAGCTTCACATATGATTCAGCTTTGCTGCATAGACGTTCCAGTCTGGCTAATGTTGTGTTTTGATGTTAAAAAGTTTATTTCAGCTAATGATTTGCCTGAGGACTCAAAAATTCATCCCTGGGAAAGATGTAGCACTGAAGTTGATGACGTTATTTTTGCATTTTGGGAAATGTGTGGCACTTGTAGTGCACCGTTATTGCATTTCTTTCACTTCTCTCATTTTTATGCATTAAACACCAGAGATGCAATGATCACCAATACTATTTCTGTTTCCCAAAACAAATTCATCAAAGTATATGCCGTTGGTGGATGTGTTCAAAACCCAAACATGGTAGGAAGAAAATGAATCTGTTTTCTCCATATTTGACCTGATCAGCAAAAACTTGCCAATTCCTGGCAGAATAGTTGGTGCATTTTTATAAAATTCTAAACATCTTCATATAAATTTTACAGATTTGTTTGTGTTGCTTATTTACTGTTGAATATTTTCAACTGCATTCACTCTCAAATGTCTATGCTCCCCTGCTAAAATTCAGGAATCTGATACAATGCAAAACTAATTTTCAGACTTTTTCAATCTTTAATGTGATAAATCCAAGGCTATTCAATTGAAAAACATAAAAAAAATGTTGGGAGGAAACTTTGAAAAAAATAAAAGTGTGTGAACCCTTAAACTCATATTTTATTGAACCATCTTTTGATTTACTTTGAGTGTTCTTGAGGTTGCATCTCCCAAGAATGAACCCACTGAAGCTGAGATGAGGTTCAGCTGCCATTTTTTCTTTACATCACTTGATATAGCCTCTAGCTAAAGGCATACTTTGCAGGGAGGTTTCAAAGCAATCTCATTGCACAAAGGGATTCATCCGAAGAGTACAAAAAAAAAAAAGAAATTCTATAGCACAAGTTTATACCTTTGTACAGTCAAGATCAATAATAATTGGTGAAAAACTAATTTATTTAGTTTTTCAAAGCTAATTAAAAAAAAGATAAAAACAATAAAGGGAGGCTTCCAACAGACCAATGAGAAACTTTCAATATGTTTGTGGTTTACACATGACAGGTGTCTGCTTGTTAATCTACAATAAATTAGAATATGCTTATGATGAGGCTTGTTTGTCAGACTAAAAGTACATCCTGATAATATCAACCTTCAAGTAAGTACTAAACATACTTTTCATTATAGGCTCACATCAAGTTTCTAATTATTGTGTCTTAATATTCTAATCTTAAATGTCATGTCTTTATTAACTCTAAGTGGAAAAGCAACATAATTATGATCATAATCATCATAAAGGCTAGACATCAGTCTGAGTGTAATTAATCTGCAGTATGTAATGTGTCTTACAAAATTTAGTTACTGAAATTAATTAACGATTCCTTTTTTTTTTTACTGTATTGAATATGACTACTTTATTGAACTACCCAGTAGCCTCAAGAATATTATCCCATTTTTAATGAAGTCAGTTTACAAGTTGTTTACATCTACAGTATTTACTCAGTGTTTGGTTTTACTGAATACTCTCTTGGTTTACAGAAAATTAGGGTTGTTATTCTGTGTCAGCAACTAGAGGCTGCATCTAATTTGGTTGATTTTTACACAACAGGGTGCACTTGGCAACGGTATGGTGGAAAATGCATTTATTGCATTTCTTCTACAAATGAGAAGAATGACTTTAATATTCAGGAGCTGGAAGCTGTAATCATCGATATCCTGACTTTGCCTGAACAGCTGACAGAAACAGAGCTACTGTTTGCTTTATTTTCAGTGACTCAGTTAAGCATCATTTGGCTGCTTCATTACAGCATCGAACAAAATGAAGAGTGTCATCAATCTTCTCATGTATACTTACTAACTGTTGGTTTGGTTTCAATCTGTCTCCAAACAAACAAGCAATCAGCAAATTTCACAGTCTTGCAACAGAGTTTGAGGATCCCGTCTCAAAGTGATGCATCTTTCTGCATTTTGTGTGTAATTCAAGGTAATACTAAAAATAGACTTTGCCAACATGCCAGGATTGATTTGAACATAGAATAAGTTGAGTATATGTGTACTTTTATCTATGCATAAGCCTTTTTGAAGATGTCTTTGTTACAGCAAAAAGTGTATTAATGTAATCTACTAATGCAATACATCTAGGGCTGCACAGAGCGGTTCGTCACCAGTCCTGAAGAAGTGATGGATGTGATAGATGAGGGGAAGGCCAACCGTCACGTTGCTGTCACCAGTGAGTCACTCCGTTGATCTTCCTGATGGTCTGACATTCAAACTGTCACACATTTCATGTCAGGACTTTTTTTTTTCCGGTGGATGAAGGATTTGTGAAGTGCAGAGTGGGGATTGATCAACTTCATTCTTTTTGTGGAAAAGGAAGTGAAATTAATTAAAACTCTGAATAAAGTCTACGCTCTCTGACCTTGTTTCTTCTTTGTATTTTTACCTAGATATGAATGAGCATAGTTCACGTAGTCACAGCATCTTCCTGATTAACATCAAGCAAGAAAATGTGGAAACGGAGCAGAAACTGTGCGGGAAGCTCTACCTGGTTGACCTTGCTGGGAGTGAGAAGGTAGGAAATAAGCAGGTTTTTTTATTTTAAACATTTAAAGAAACATTCCTGTTTTATTGAGGCGGGGATCTCAAGAGGTTTTCGCCAGGAAATATTCTACCTGCTGTTAGTATCTTCACTTTATTGAGAGTATTGTGATCTGTGTATTAGCCTGTGAGTCTTGATCCCAGCTGTGTCTCGTTTCTTTGATTACCCTCCCAGTGTATTTAGTCCCCCTGTTGTCTTTGTCTCCTGTCGGATCCTCGTCGTGTAATGTCGTCGTGTGTCACCGTCGTGTTACGTCTTGCTCCCTGCTGTCCTGTTCCGTGGATATTTTTCATTAAATCATTCATCACTTCATCCTGGGTCTGCCTGCATCTTTCCTCACCATTCAACCACCATAGATCATGACATAAAGTAGCTTTAAAGTTAACAAGTAGGCAGAGGTGGACCAAAACAAAATAACTCCAAATTTAAAAATATCACAAAGGTTAATTTAAATGTCATCTTATGATTTTTAACACCACTACCAAGTTTGACACATGAATTGTTAGTTACTCACAATAAAGACCAAGCTTTTCTGCAATCACTAACAGTGACCTTTAGATAATGTGTTTTTTGAAGCAAAACCTGAGCTAATTAAGCCACAGTGACAATCTGATAAAGATTTAAGGTAGAACACAGAAGTCTACTTTTAACATAACTACTTTTCGACTTTGTTAGCAAAAAAACTAATCTCTGTTTGATCAAGTGGATAATGCCAACAGCAGATGCAATTCCAGACTCTGGGAAAAATGCACAGTAGGTATCTCCAACCAGCACGCCTCACAGGGCAACACAGAAACAAGCTTTCACACTCACTCCTAAGAACAATTCAAAGAGATTCATTAACCTAACCTGCAGGTTTCTGGATTATAGCACAGGAGAAAGTGGGAGTACCAGAGAGAACCTGCACATGCACAGGGAGAACGTTCTCAAGGCAAAGAGATTCCAATGTCAAGATTCAAACCTTTGTAGCTCGAAGGATAAGTGTAGTACAATCAGGGTCAATGGCACTTGAAGAGGTTGGTTGTGTTGATGCTCTTTCCTCCAGGTTCACGAAAGCCACATTTAATGTCTATTATTCCAAAAGGGGGGTGGATGGACTCGAGGTAGATGATGACTGAATTGATGCGGCAAACAAAGAAACATGGCATGTCCTGCAGACAGAGTATAGAACATGCAGCATAATCAATCAAAGTCGTGAATGCTGAACTTGCACTTTCTTATCTCATCTAAAATTGTTCATAAAGGAAGATTGAAGTATATGATGAAGCCTGTTTTATCACTCTTCATGAATACATGCAGAATAATCCAGCACATGAATAAATAAATATTTTTCAGACTCATAAAATCTACTTGATACATGACTGGGGAATAAAATATCCACACAATGACTTCAATCTATGCACATTTGTAGTACATTATCTAGAATTGTTGCCTATGAGTTATACAGCTAAACATTCTAAGCTAGAAAACTGAACACAACTGGATGCAATTTTAATCTAAAGGAGGAGCCATGTCAAAGTTGGCTATTTTTAGCTTTACCCTGCTAGTTGAACAAACGGTAACAAACATATTTCACTCTTAGCTAAATTAAATTTACCTGCATCAGTTACCAATGTCTTAATTTCTCTTCTACTCTTCGCAATGTTTTATTTATTTTCTTGTTTTTGCTAAATGTAGGATGGGTACCTTCTCGGTGTTTTTAAAGAGCCACTCCTTTGAGCTGGGAGCTTCACAACTGCAACCGCTGTCTTCGCAAACTTTCCCCATTGTCATTGCCCTTTGATTCAAATATAATCAGCCATCAATGACCCATATCTATGAGGAGCCCCAAGATCTACCCTGTTTTTATAGTCTTGAGTTTATGGGACTAATGTAACAGAAGAAGCAGTGTATACTAAGAGCAGTAAAGAGATATAGGACAGTATTGACAAATGCTGACGGCTGCGTTTTGTAGCATTTAAGCGCTGATGGTGCATCTGTTTGTTGTCTTGGTCAACCCTGGGGAGCAATGAAGAAATATTTCTGCTCTACCAATTTATGGAGGTTGAGGACAAAATGTTATCAACTGAACTAAAATGAAAGAATGTTCACAGTCTGCAGATTTTTCTTCTAATTAAGCTTCTTTTTATCTAGCTCTAATTAGATCCCCTGATAATTAGGATACACTCAAGATTGACCGTCTTGGAGAAATCTTCAGAAAATCCAGCTGCATCTCACATCATTTTCCCTTCTTAACAAGTTATACTGTACTCATTTATTTATTTGGTCTTTAAATTCATTGGGAAATTAGTCCTAAAACCATGTCACATCTTATTTTGACTTCTATTAAAAGCCATGCTGAAAAGATGGATTATTTTGTCTGAATAAAATATATGTATACTTTATGTTATGAGGCGTTTATTAATGGAGTCCTACTGAATCCTGTTCTGGCTGAAGCAGATGTCTCCTCATGTTGATCTGCTGTTATTGGTATCATTTCTTTATAACAAGCAGATATTAGAAAATGAATGCAAACCAATTTGTGTGTACTCTCTGTAAAGTCATCCCATTAGCTTCCTGTTCCTTATTGATTTCAACCAATCGAAACACAGTAGTTATACCAGGACAATAAAGGTTTTTATACCACTGATCAATTAATCTATAAAGCAGTCAAACTTACTTAAGCACCATTATAACTACCTCCAAAATGCTGATGCACAACATATTTTGAGCCCAATTGTTGAAACAACAGACTTAAATGCCATGTAAAGTTGTTTTTTTTTAAAGTTGATAGACTTAGTAACCAAATATTATGAGCCAGAAAAAAACACACTGAAGCAAGTATTTAATGGAAATAAATAATTTTGCAAGCACTTAATTGGTAGCATGTGAGAATAAGAAAAACAACTTCATGTGGAGTGCCTTACTAAAGCATTCATCTGCTTTGGATTTGTTCATATTTTGTAATGTTGCAATTACAAACATCATACATATTTTATAGGGATTTCATGTGGTAAAATAACACAAAATTATGCAGGATTGTGAAGTGGAAAGAAAATCATTAATGGTTTTCGTTTTCTTTTTACACATACAATGTGAAGTGTGTTGCTTGGACTTGTGTTTTCTCGTACAGCTGCAAATACAAACTTATGTTCTTTCCTCACAAGTCACCTAATTGGTACTTGAAGCCCATCCGTGTGTGACTTAATCTCAGTACAAATACAGCTGTTTTCTGAAGGCTCTCATACTAATTTGTTACATAAAACAGTCACATTTGTGGTTACAGTGGGAAAAACTGTGAACACGTTCATTAGGGATGGAGTGTTTAGAAGGCAAAATAAGTGTGACAATCTATCAAGAAAATACAATAAATAACCAAAAGATAATGAAGCATCAGAAAAAGCCAGATGGTCTTTAACAGATCTATCTAGCTCTTCTCAGATACTCTGTAAAATTCCTTTGGATGCTTGAATGCTGAATAAAATCAGAAACAGAGGATTTTAAGGGCCTTCATAAATAAAATTATTTCTAAGAGGGCAACCTCGTGCAGCGTAATGTATTATTTTATAACCTAAAAACTGTATAAAAACCAAAACAAACAAGATGTGAGGAGACTTTCCAGTGATAATTATATTAGAAACAGATTTCATTTGCCTGGATTAAACGGTTAATGAACTAATTTCTTCCATGTTTGTGTATTTGTGTCAGGTCAGTAAGACAGGTGCGGAGGGATCGGTGCTGGATGAAGCCAAGAACATCAACAGGTCCCTATCGGCTCTGGGGAACGTCATTTCTGCTTTGGCTGAAGGAACGGTAAGATGAAAAATGAAAAGCTCTGCAGTCCCTTTAATCCGTCAGCAGCAGCCTGAGGCTTGACTTGTTAATTATTTGTTTTAAACAGATAACTCATGCCTGCCATTGGAAGAATATGTATCCTGGCTGCAATGAATTAGTCTGAATTATTAAATTAGAAATACATTAATTCCTTAAATATGGGAGTTGGTTTATTATCAGTGAGTCTGATTGTAACTTGTGTGTATTTATAGTTATATAATAACAGCCTGTATAATTACTTTACAGGGATTAACTTGCTCATTTAAAAATAATTTTGCATTTTTATCAATGAGCTGTGAGTCTTTCATCTTATATCTACATGCTATGCTCAAAAGAAGTGTTGTCTGAATGCATGTGGAATTGATTCTGAAGTTAATCATTTTATTTTGCTAACTTAGAATATAACACAATCCCTTGTTAGTTAACTGTAAAACTCTGAACACTGCAGAACTGCCCGGATGCTTGTCCAGCAGAACCGAGAGACAATTACGATCTTTACATTTGATCAGAAAACATAATTTTGTTTCTATTCTATCCAGCTATTACCTCTTTGTCACACAATGACCTTCTGGATGGCTGAGGTACAGAGGAACACAGTGTTAAATAAATAGAAAATGCTAAATTTTGATGCTAAGAGTAAAACTGCTGTAAGAGTTGTGTCTCGTCTTTCTGGTGTGCTGCAGTGACACGTTTGGTGGCCATCTGTTCCTCTCATCCACCGCTCTCTACGCTACTACAGCTGCTATTATGATCCATTTGACCCGCTCTGTGGTCCTTCCAAGCCTCCTTGTTATAATTAGAACACTCACTATTTTTTATTGTAAGGCTCAAGGCTCGGGGAAGTCCTCATAAACCATATGGAAAAAAGGCTGACAGTCTGAAATGTTTTAATCTGATAGAAATGTGAGTGTTCATTTCCTATTCACTGAGCAAGGACACAGTCTTTAAGGCTGCATTCAGAGGGTTAAATTGGCCCAACTCTGAATAATACAGCTGCAAGAGAACAGTTTTTTTTTATGTTTTTCTTCTCCCCCCGTGTGAAAAACTCCTATTTCAAAGAAAGGGCTCTTTTGCATTTTCTGTTTTGATGTCTTTTTCTCAATCTTGAATTCCTTTTCTTCTCTCCTGCTTTTGTCTCTTTGCAGAAATCCCATGTGCCGTACCGTGACAGCAAAATGACTCGTATCCTGCAGGACTCACTGGGCGGGAACTGCCGCACCACCATGTTTATCTGTTGCTCTCCATCCAGCTACAATGATGCAGAGACCAAATCCACGCTGATGTTTGGCCAACGGTAACATGGATCTCTGTGCTTGGTGGTCCTGAACTGCTGCACTGCTGTGCAAAGCGAAACACAACCCTGTGATGCTTCACAGTTCACTGAACTGGGTTATTCTAACTTTTCTCTTGGCCTGCACACTGACTGTAGTTTCTTCCTTTAATCCATTTTTCTTCATGCTAAAATACATGCATGCATCGCCACATTTAATTGAATCAATTTCCCTCAGTAAACTGCATAAAAACACCACACTTTTTGTTGCCACTTTTGTATGATTCTGGCGGGATAATTTTCCATTTTTCTGGTTTGTTTATTAAAATTGGTTGGCTTCCTGACATGCAGCCTGCGCTTAAGTGCAGTCCAAAAATGTTTCAGTAGTACTTTTGATGTGGATTTGGGATTATCATTTTGTGTAACACACACTGGGGTCCAAATGTTGCACATTTAGCTGCTGAATTAAAATGGCGTTGAAGATTTCACAGATCCCATTCTTGCTCTGTCTGGTTGGTGGTCCACAAGATTATGTGTTGTTTTTTTTTCTTTATCTGTTCCACATTTATGCAGAATGTAGTAAAATAATATAAGAGTAGTATAAATGGCTAGAAGGCCTCCTGCCACCACCCTAATCCATTGGTTTCAGCTGAGACTCCAAACTGAGCTGCTTCAACCTCTTAGTATGACAAAAAACATGTTTGTTCAAATTAAAAACTCACTTGAAATCCAAATCTACCCGGGGATTAATCATATATTGCATCTTAGCACCCTGGAAACAGACTGAGTTGAATGTATCATTAAAAGCCCCAAATTAGTATCACATTGATGAATGGGGGTGATCTGAGTGAAACTCTAAGTAATAACATTACAGTGACTTCAAGGTTTAATTGGTCTTTCACAAAGGAACAAAAACAGAACAGAAGAGTTGAATAACTAAATCATCTCTTGGCTTTTTCTTAAGTTTTTTCAAATGCCATCTAATTCTAAAGACTAATTTACTATGAGGAATGTGGGCTCTTTTTTCTTTATTAAAGGCACACAAATCAAATATTTCATAGGATTATGCTTGCTGTTGAACTTTTTTAGAACAATATGTTTGATTATCTTCATTTTGCTCCTCACACACCCTTTTATCTAAGGTCTAATTGGCAAAGAAATGAGCAGAGAAGGATGTTTGTCTTACAAACAGTAGAAAGTACTTTTATAAGAACACACAGTTTTCTTACTGGGGTGTGAAATTAAGTAATAGCACATCCTTCCATTCAACCTTTTATTTGTGCTAAGCAGCAGAATAACATACTCAATCTTTTTAAGATTTTTATAATAGCATTGATTCATTGTAAATATTTCATGCAGTGCGAATCACCCGTCCTCCGTTGCTCCCTCACCCTATGCACACCAAACATTGTTTGCACATAGCCAATTTGCATACCAATTAATGAGATGCAAGCTAATTTTCACTGCGCAGGCAGACATTTTCTCTGTTCCCTCACACTTTGTTGTTCCTCTCTTTTTACTGTCCCTTGTCCCTTCAACCTCTTCGCTCCTAACTCCCTCCTTTCCTGTCTGTGATGCCCTTTCCTTCTCCATGCTCCCCTCTAATTAGAGCCAAGACCATTAGGAATACCGTCACAGTGAATCTGGAGCTCACAGCGGAGCAGTGGAAGAAGAAGTATGAGAAGGAAAAAGAGAAGAACAGATCGATGAAGGAAACTATACAAAGACTTGAAGCTGAGCTGAACTGCTGGAGGAATGGTAATGCTTCCACTGATCATGATTTGTACGTACTTGTACAAAGAAAATGTGAAAATGGCTGCTCGTGCGTTTGTGTCTCATGTAAAAATTGTAAAATGTTGATATTTTCAGCCAAGCAAATGACAGCGACTTCATGGAATAGTTTTGGCCCTTCAGTTTGACTCAGATTGAAATTTAGCTCAAATATATCCAAACACAAAACTTCACATATTGAATTTGGCAACCTACTGCTGACCAAATTAATTGAAAACATTGAACAAAATATCCTTACAGTAGACCATGACTGGATCAGTAGAAAATATGCAGTCCACTTCCTGATATTCTGACTGATGTTTTAAAGAATTTCCTTCAACGCCTTAAAATAAAACCACAGATTTGCCTCCAGTTAACTAAAAATCCTATTACGTCATGGCATAATTTGTGCTTTCACAGCTTGTTAAAGGCAGAATCATTTTAATGCGCGTAGCTTCCGATTTTAAACATGGTTAAAAAAAAAAACCCTCATTACTCTGGCATTTAGCAACTAAAAATAATTGTGGTGATCCTGGCTGACCTAACACAGAATAATTGAGTTAGAAACTGGGGAGAAAAACAGACTATATAGACATTCAGTTTCTGCTGTAGATTCTTAAAATGTATAACTTATTAAATAGGATATAATTTTTAAAAAATATTACCCCTGCATTATATTCTCTTCATTGATTGTTGGGCTCACTGATTCTTCATAAATAAGAGCGATTGGGGTCCTTGATCAAATAAAAATAACCCTAAGCAACCTTCTGGTGGTGGATGTTAGTTTCTAAGCAGCGAACTGGGATAAATTAATAGAAAATCACCATAAAAATACATGGAGTCTCTGCAAAGTCCAAGCAAGATGCTGCAAAAGTTCAAAATGACAAAGGGCTAAAATGACTAGGACCACCGATAAAGTATTTTTGAAAGGGATCAAATAGTTTCTTTTTCCAAGGCTTTAAAGTTTAACTTCCAAAAAAGGAACTAAGCTTTACCACTTAAACTCAAGTGGATGGATCAAAGTCCGCTTGGGATTTTAATCAATACATTTTCAAATATTCTGTTGTGGTATGATATAATAATACATGTTTTATATATCTTAGAAACCATTTCAATGGCAGAAGATAAGATTTACTATGTTATCAGTTAGTTTGACTCTTTTTCTTTATTCCCCTACATTGTCTCATTCTTGAGGCAGTCGTTTTTAAAACCAGCTCTATTTTCTGACGAACCTTCAAATCAGTCTTCCATTTAAAAAAATACGACTTGAGGAAAACCTGGCGGAAGTGCTGAACAAAGCTCTGCAGAGAAGAATGACTGCAGAACATGTCCCTGTTCCTGTCTCTTTTTATGCATGGACGGCTTTTCACTTACAGGAATGAATTTTTCACCAACCCACAGGCATCGCTTTTCCCTCCACGTAAGGGGAGATTTAACCTTATTTGATCTAATCCGAATACCTGTCAGTGAAGATGTAGGAGGAAAACGGACCAACAGATTTGTTGGACTCATGCCCAAAACACATAAACACTGCTTTTTGGCTATCTCTGTTAGTTTTTTTTTTTGTTTTTTTTCTTCAAACTTGCACACTTTGTGTAATTGGATTTCTCATACATTGTACTCAGATACATTATTGCAGCAGAATTTGCTTTATGAATCTCTATGTTTTAATCATATCCTGACCATCCTGGCCACAGAAAAGTCATAACGTAGAGTGGTTTTCTCACATGTCAACACACACAAACACCAGCATTTTCTTTTCTTTGCACCCCCCCCCCCCCCCCCCCCCCACGCCGAAACATCCTCCCCCCCCTCTTATCTGACTTTTTTAAAG